GAAGAGATTGGGGTAGGGGAAGGATTGGGCCTCCGGCAACCTCACTAACACGGCGAAACACAACGTTGTGGTTGTTTCACGCCGGTAGAATTTAAAGAATAAGTATGCTATTTGACGCATAAATGTGTATCATGACGCCATAAGTTTCTATCTCATAGATATAATATGGTCAATCGGTTTAGGTAATTAACTAAATGTTAACGATGGTAGCTAATAAACGAAATTTAAATAATCTTTATAATTATGTATGTTATGAGACCTCTTTAATATAAAAATACAAATCAAGATTACCTTTAATTAACCACGTAAACTAAATGAAAGATTGACCTTTCTTTGACAGGGAAAATCATCAAATGCGAGAGGAAGTGTCAGACTCTTACCGACTCAAAACTCCTCGTTCCTACTCCTGCTTTAGGCCGAGGCCGCGATGAAGATATACATAAGATATACAAACGATACAAAAGTACCTATAGTTTTGTCATTATGATGAAAGTATTGAATTTGACAAGTTGTCAACTACCATATTGTTTTGTTGCAGTCCATCTGCCTGATGTGGGGACGACTGATGGAGTTCGGTTTGGTTTGGAAAAAAAAGCAGGTAGTTAGGTAATGTACAAAATTAATCCACCTATAGTAGGGCTATACCTATTCATGTGGTGTGTGGCAATACAGGCAATGGGTGCTCGAGTGCGAGGCAGCAGGTCCTGCGGGCGGCGGGCGGCGGGCGGCGGCGCTGGAGTCGATGCGCGATATGCAAATATCGGCTACCGTATTGACCGCGCTATTGTTCCGGCGCGTCTCTTTTATTTGGTGTAACGAGGCAGCGCTGGCCCGCTCATACGCATGTAACTTATGGCTCTCAAACCACCGCACAATGAACGCCGACAGTTTTGTTCATATAACTCATGTTTTTGTTTTAAATCCAAGACACGGCCGATTGTTTACTCATACCTTCCGCACGGTTATTGCGACTTTCACGCCGCACTATGGGAGCGAAGCACTGCTGTGGTACTTGTATATCTCTCACAATTACTATATCTGTATGGTAGACTATAAAAGTGAAGATATCCTCGGGATGCTCGCACCTTGCGACCTCGCCAAAATTAATGCTATGAACGTTGAACTTCCACTTTTTTCCTTGCTTGTAAATAATATTAATTATTTGGGAAAAATTAGATTGGTACGTAATGTAGTCGATTAAAAAGGGACAGAGTAGGTCAAAAAGCAGTAGACCAATGAAATAAGTAGGTACACAAGCGTTTAATTGACAGTATATAGTGTAGATAAAATATGGTTATGATATTGTCACATATAGAACAGTGAGCTCGTCCGTGGTACAGGTACAGCGGTCACAGGGCGGCCGCGGCGCAGGGTTGCCGCTGCATTCACTGCATTGTTACTTAATTAATAAATCACCAGGTGAGACGCTCGCTGCCATATATCACGATGCGGTCCTTTCAATTTTAAAGACTTGTAGGAATTTTGCTCCTGTCACGTATTATTTCTAAATGTTTTTTCCTTCAACACAATTTGTTACGTGTTAGATAGTGCGAGATGAGGACAGCCATTGTGCAGACTGCATTGTGAGCTCGCTGCGGTGTCACCAGCAGGTCAGTGCATGTAGCACGGGAACACGGGAATGAGCCCTCATTTGTTTAATCAGACATTTCAACACGTACTGTGTTATATATAGTTTGGATTGAATGCGTGTACCACAAGGGTCTCTATAGTGCTTGCGATTTTATTTCATTCTAACTACTCTCTCGCGCTTTCACCTGATGCTCGGCTCCATTTAATCGTAGCGTGATGTTTTATAGCCTATAGCACTCAAGAAAATTGTTGCTATATATCAGTGAAAGAATGTTGGCAATCCGACCAGCGGTTCCAAAGATTACCCCCTACATACAAACTTACAAACATACAAACTTACACCTCTTTATAATATTAGTATAGAAGTATAGATACAGATTTTACTTTACACTTATTTGCTTTTCATTGTAGTTAAAAAACCTACTTAAAAATATGGACACCTGTAATCGGATTTGGCTCTGTGCTTCGCAAATAGTTAACTCAAAGTAAATTACACATTTCTTATATTTAGCCACTATAAAGCTTGTGTGAAATCGCCAATGCGCCTTGAGCAAGCGTCGTGCTTAATGCTCAGACCTTCTCCGTGCGAGAAGAGGCCTTTGCTCAGCATTGGGTCCCTATAGGATGATGATGATGACCTATACAAGGTGGCGACAAATAGGGTACCTAGTAAATATCTGCCTTGTTTCTTATACTTAGCTTACCATCAAGTGATCCTTACGCCGATGATAGTTTCTCATTATAATTTGAATAATAAAGCAGAGAATGGTCATCAATCATGATCTCAACCAGTCTGTCGGGTTGTTGGAACGTTACTACCTACATAATTATATTGTATGTATGTGGATATTGGTTTGCAGATCTGTCTCAAGTTGCTCGGCCAGCGCAATAGGTCGAAAACAACCGCGGCTTCAATTTCTGCACGGAACATCTCTGTGTGATGGCGACGAAGATGTGAGTTTGTGTGTTTGTAAACACCCCGCGATACACGAGAAAATCAAGTGATAATTACGTTATATACGGTAATGTCCCCAAACTGTGTGAATGTACAAGCTCCTGCGTTTCTGCGCCGACTCGTCGGTGTCGAGTGTGACGGTATTTGTGAACACAGCAAACGTAACGGTGCGGCGCTGGCAGGCAGTGTCCTGCCGGGTGACGGCGTCGGGTCCCACATTAATCACAGCCCATTGTGCGGAGCGGAGCAGGTCACGACGCGAGGTGCCGTACGCGAGCATCCGTGGAGAATCTAGCAAAGGGTTCCAGTGACGGGATATGATTTAGGGAAGACAGACAAAGACACAGGTGCACGTCCCGAGAACTCGCCCGATACCTTTCTGTGGAAGTGATAACATCGCGTCGGCGGCTGTTGTACTTCGATCTCTATTAACACGTGTGCCGGTGTGTCGGTGTGTGTGTGCGCAGATTTATTGCATACGTGCACACTGCCACACTATGGTGCTCACGGGTCACGAGCTAGCTGCCGATTTACTAGAAATGTTAGATATCAATCTCGCAACTGACGCTCGCAGTAAATTTTAGGAAGTTCATTTTATCAGAAGACTCGATCAAGTAGGATCTGCAGGCTATGTAGGGATCAGCAATTATGTTCTATGGCCCTGGCTCGGAGTAGGAGAACGATAAGCGTGGATTTTTAGCCAGTGAGAGTTTGAGTTTTCCTTTCGCCCACTAGAAAGAAGTCATGTGATGATATTGTATGTATACTTAGATGTAGAGACTGCACAGCGCTGACAGACAGACTGTACTTACTATTGTACAAACGGTAGCGGAGCGGCTGGAGCGGCCGCCACGCCGCGGTCTATGTCTCGCGCCTCGTCGGGTTTTAATTACAACAGCGCCCCCCCTGCGCCCCTGCGCCCCCGCTCCCCGCGCCCCCGCGCCCCGCTCTCCGCGGGCCTATTGTCACGCGTTAAGGGTTATCTCTCAATTATATCTGCCATCACGTTTGCGTGCACATGACACGAAACATACATTTTTAAGCTTCCAGTGTTGTCTCTTCAACTTCGGCGCAAAGCAATCACCAAACAGATTTTATGCAAATGAGATGGCGTTCTTCTCTTAATTTCTAATTCCCAAAATGTTTTAGTAGGTACTATAAGTATATCTATCTCCATTTTTACATAAAACTTATATCTAGTAGGTAATAATGTATCTGACGGTTGTAACGGTGTTTATGTTTTTAACATTTCTATTTTGAAGCCTACATGCACTCATTGTAGGAACTAAGCCGTAGAAGATAAAATACATATTATTATATCAATATGTAGGTAAGGAAAAGTCAACTACATTGTTGAATACTTATTTTTGGTAAAAATTAAACAGGTGCTCAATTGTCGTGAGAGCACAATCGATTGAAGGCATGTGAGACCGGGTGGAAGTAATAAATGTGAAACAAAGTAGGAGGCGTACGTCCGAACGGCTCAGTTAATGTATTCGCGAAATAGTTTAATTTAGCGGCGACATCTATCGGGCTTGTTTGTCGGGCGACAGTTTTCATTAGAGCAGTTGATCCGGGCTTATTGCGGGACGGGATTACCACCCCGCGCAACCCGCGCCGGCCCTGCCGCCGCCCGCCTCGGACAAATTAAAAAGAAACACTACCAATGTGCGTTACTATAGCTGCCACTAGGTACATTATACACTAACAGGCGCCCACAGGTAATACCAGCTAGTAGTACTGACTCAGTGTAACACTGACATCTAGCACACTTCTATGGAGAGTGAGGAACTCGCGGTTCCAGAAGGCCGCGAGAAGATCTTTTGTTTGGTGCCTTCTACACAATCAACAAGATCGTCAAACAAACGAGAGTTCCATGAAGGTAAGGCTGACTGGGAACTTTTTCAGTCACACTGCCCATTAGACCAGTCATTTCATTTCATTAGGCTTGTTATAAAATTGCATTCTAGAGTGCGTTTATGATGCACTGATTAATCGGAGATCTATCTATAACATTAAGCAGTACAAGGACGGAATGTCGCATGTAAGTGCTTTACTTATTTGTGTATTTCATGAACAACTATTAACTTTCGTGAACAATTATTTAGTATTGAGATAGACTTTTATTGTAGCTTAAATTATTTCTCCTTATTCCTAAAGTTACTTTTGATCATTGCGCGAATACTAGGACAAACAAGTTTTCTTATTCCTGCAAGAAGTGTCGTGTGTGATTGTTCGATTGGCTTTACTGACTCGCGTGAAACAGTCTATACAAGCATATGGAACTTGGCTTGCTCCGCAATGTCTCGTTACGTCCCGAGTGTGACAATACGCCGACAGTAGCGCGAGGTCGGTGTGCGAACAAGCGCGACGCACAGAATGTGAAGCGTGCCAATCAATGGCTCTTTATGAATATTGACGTATAACGGATCATTAGGGCATCGGTTTAATGGCATTAGTGCTGCCCTTTGATCGCGGCGCCCCCTGCCGACACATTGTACGCCGCTGAGCCGGACCCAGACAGCTGAGCTGCGCACGCAGAAGGTCTGCTCTCGTACAGTGCACTGTGCACTGTACTGTCTTATCACGAACAATTGTCAATTCTATGTTATTCTTACTTTTTTTCTTAAAATACATGGTCTGTCGTGAATCCGCATTAAATTTAATGGATAGAGCTATACGAATAAGTGTATTTAAACGTGACGTGGTGTGATGCTTCTGTCGTGAGACTGGCGGGTGGCGGCGCGTCGTGTTTGTTTACTGCGCGCCAAGTTGTGGACAAACAAAAGCTGGGCCGGCACGCGGCACGCGACTCTGCGCAACTAGCGACTGATTGACACGCCGCCGCTATTGAGGGGCGCCTGTACCGCCGTCACGTGCTCATTGGGAATATTACACGCAATCACTCTTTATTATACTCATTCACTTAGTTTGCTGAATTTTGTGTGGACTCTAATGTTCCCGTTTGTGCGCGGTATATATTTACCTATTACAACAGCAGACAATTTGCCCAAAATATTCCATGCTTTACCAACCGATAGCTGACTGAGGCGGAGGGCGCTCCGACTGCTGAGAGTTAAGAACTGGGAGAAGGACATAGGATAGGATAGAGTAGGTAGTGTAGGTTAGGTAGAGTAGGGTAGGTAGGGTACGGTTGGTAGAGTAGGGTAGGTAGTCAAATGACGGGAGCGACGCTGCGGCTAAGAGCTAGTAATTTCATCAGAAATGTTTGGATCGATGTAAGTTTCTGACATTGTAGCCACAGCTCTCTGCGGACATTCACTAGGTATCTCATTAGAGTATCTGTTGTCTACCGAAACAGACGGCCAACTGTTGTTTCTTGAGTTGACAACTTCCATGTCATGGGTCTGCTGTGGCTGAAACCTAAATATAATAAAGGTAACATTAACAGAAATATACCTATATAATAGTCGGTACTTAAAAATAGTCAGTTCAAATATGCAATTATTGAACGTGATCAAAACAGGAAAATTTTTGAGAAATTTGTATAGGTATGGTATTTTATTTGCGCAGGTTGATTACCTGATGGTAAGCAATCTGTGCGGCCCATCAACACCAGGGGATGTTACAAGTTTAGTGCGATGTTGGCCTTTTTGGGTGTTGGAATTGGAATTAAAATGAAAGTTCAAACCAACATCATAATTGTTCGTAACTTCGTATCAAGAAAATGATGAATGATGAACATATTATTTAGAAGGTATTCATAATGCGTACTTAGGTAGACATGATAACTTACAATATTTTTCCTATATGTATAATGGTAGATGATGTGGTTTGGCTTGATGAGGTTCGTTAATTCAACATAATATTATTATACTAGCTACTCTCTCGCGGTGTCACACGCTGCTCAGCTCCTACAGATCATAGCGTGATGTTATATAGCCTAAAGCCTTCCTCGATCAATAGATAATCTATTCAGCAAAAAAGAATATTTCTATTCGTATCAGTAGTTCCTGAGATAAGCGCGTTCAAACAAACAAACAAACTCTTCAGCTTTATAATATTAGTATAGATTAAGAAAACAGTATCTAATAAAATCACGTAAATTGGTATTGTATTGGTTAAATATTGCAACGTGACGCTTCCCCATAAACCGCCTCCGTCCACCCCGGGGGAGGCGAGAGTGTCAGACTCTTACTGCCACTTCGATCCTTCTCCTGTTCGGGGCCGCGGTAACTTATTGCAGCATAATAAAGAGGGTGCTAACTGTGCATATTATAGGTACATTATATATAGTAGACTTGCTTTCCAATTAATTCGCCCATCGCACCGTTAGAGCACGCTGCTGAGGAGTGGTTCAAGTGTTTCCTCGCTTTAAAAGTGTGATCCGACGCGCGCCCCTTCTGAGGGGAGGTCCGCACACTCGCGCCATTTGCATCACAAATACGCCACGTCTTTGTTTCATGTAATTACATTAATTGTCAATTGGGTATTTGACTTGTTCAAAAACAAAAAAATATTTCGACTTTACACAGTGCAATACTTAAAACATTCATACATACTAACACTCATTCATTGGTTTTACTTATGATACACGCGACACTAGTATTGTACTTGCTGGTTTTCAAGAAATTAATTATGATATCTATTTGACGTAAGAAGAACATGACGTCACAACACACAAGTAATTCCTTACAAATGAAACTTGACTTTAACAATTCCAAAAAAAAAAAATAGTGATTATGAGTAGTTGCGAAGTTCACAAAAGATGTACTGTAGGTACTGTTCTATAATACGTATGGTATCTACTGTAATATGATTAAGACTTGGACTTTGGATACTTGACTTTAATATCACAGTACACAGTCGGGCAGCTCACTGAACCGCTACTAAAGGATGATACTGACATTGACAGTTCTAGTGTTACAATAATTAGTATGACTAATTAGAGATGATACAGCATCCCCTCTTAAGTTTAGGTTAACCCTTGACAAATCAGACTTATTACTACGGACAACCTGACAATATTTTATACCACTTACGACATAACTAATTGATTTCGATAACATCATCATCAGCCCATAAGTACCCACTGCTGAACAAAGGCCTCTTCTCACACGGAGAAGGTTTGAGCATTAATCACCACGCTTGCTCAATGCGGGTTGGCGATTTCAAACTTATAATTATAAATTATAAGTCCAGGTTTCCTCACGATGTTTACCTTGACCGAATGTCAGTGGTGTCTAAAATAATCATAGAAAGTACATATAACTCGGAAAAGTCACATTGGTACTTGCCAGGTTTCGAACCTACACCCTCATGCATGAGAAGCGGGCTCCTTAACCTCCGGGCCACCACGACGATTTCGATAACAATATATTCTTAATCAATTTCTTTTATTAGCCTTCTTGTAGGCTTTACAATTCGACCTGAGCGTGTAGCAATTTGAGGATCGAGATAAGAGTTCTTGAGGTCCAGCCTTCTGACTGTCACCATCCTCTCTCCCTTGCGATGACGACGACGACGACGAGTTGGATAGCATAGGAGAGAACTTATGCCTAAAGTGAACCCTATTTCTCCTAAAATCTTTTAAAGTAGACGTGATCATTCACATCCTAAAGGATGACACTGACATTGACAGGTCTAGTTGTTAGTATGACTAATTAGATAAGTACATCTTGTATGTAATGCGTCAGGGCGACTTACGAGTCAAGGATTTATCATAGAATTGTTTATAATTAAAACTGTTCATTTAAAATTAAAACTGTTCATAAACAATGGCGCAGCTGTGTTATCATTCGTGACAAATTCACAAAAGGTTGTGTTCAGGTCTCGCTTGTTATTGCGAGGAGGGAGAGGGTGCAGGTGTCGAGTGCCTCCCCAGCACCCTTGCTAGGCGAGCGCTGTTTGAGTCAGAGAGGAACGACTGCTTGAGAGTGCGTTAACAACACTCGTCCGATATTAAGTTTCTTGATTTACTGCGAGACACCCATAGTGCCTACTAATGAGGCTAATGGCTGATTTGCAGACTACTACATATACTTGCCTAGTAGGTCCATACTTAGAATACGCTATAATTAAATTAATTAGAGGCTAATTGTGTGCTGCAAGCTCTCACTTATACCTAATATCACGTCGCGTTGTTGCTTATTTTAGCTGGTAACAATACTCGCCAGATTTAATTATTTTGAAATATAGACTCATTTTATGTAGGTAGTTATATTCGTTACTATAAGATATCTAGTATTTATCTTTTGCAACTTTCGGTTTGCTGGTTGTCCACCTTCACATCTATAAGTACTTAATACGGTTATATGGCACATAGCTCATACAAATAACGTTATCTTTTCTAGCGGATATCTAGATTGTCAAACATGTATCAAATTAATAATTAGATTGGTTCAGGATGCACAGATTATAAATACAGAGCTACAGAATTTATGGGTACCTATCAAGTAAAACCTGCTCTGAACCGCAATATTATGAGTAGGGTAAATGTAATAACATTTTTGAAAATGTCTCGTACTTATTCTAAAAACAAATAATGAAATCGCGAGCGAATTGCGGAAAGGCGCGAAGAATTGGCGAGCGCGTCCCGCCCACGCGCGGCCCTCCAATGAGCGCGCCGCGCGGCCGCCATTGGACGACGTTTGCCGCCGAAACGAGAGGAAAAAACGCGCCATATGAAAAACAATGGTACTCACTTGCACGGGCAGCACTCGGGCCTGCTCATTGTGCACCGTCCACCGTAAGCTGAGCCCGGCGCGTCTTGCAGCCGCGCCCTGCCGCGACCTGCTAGCGGCGAACTGCGGGACGCGTGACGGATCTGTTAGCGCTGGACGGCTAGCAGACAATCTGTTCACTGTACTTACGTATACATTGAAAGTTAAAGTGATGTCCCAGAATGACATACTAGTGTGGGGCGGACGGATTGATGCGCGTGCGCCTGTGTGCGTAATGTTTTGTTATATTCTCAACAGGTGGCAGAGCCAGCGCGGCCTGACACTGCCAATCAACAACATCAGTTTTTGACATTTGTGCTACAGAGTATCTGTCAAAAACTATGCACAGATTTTTGATTAAAATCGCCTACTTACTTATTTAGGTACTAGTTTCAGTCACCCATCAGTCAATGTCAAAAATAAAGTGTTTTAAGTAAGTAGGTAACAGTAGGTATATCTAATTTTAGTTGTAGGTATCTACTAAAAACTATTTAACTAAGAAGCCAGGTAAGCTTTCTTTTCATGAGGAACAATACTGAAACAAAAGAACTTTGCCACCAATTGTCACCCACCACAACCGTATTTTTTTAACGATAGCTAGACACAGCCACTCATGTTAGGTGATTAAGCGGTGCCCATGGACACCCCTAGCGGGACAATATGTACTTATCTAGTCGTATTCAAGTTACCAATTTAAGTTTGATTTCAAGTTTATAATGGAAATACATTATGATGGATGGATAGAGTGGAAAAATTAAGGTGTTGCAATATTAAGTAGTTATTATTATTTGTGAATTACGTGCACTTACTGGCATGATTGTTGTACTCTGAAATACTTAATAGGCAGAGAGTCGATTCGTATTTATCTGTTCCAACAGAACTTACCAGAGATTATATTCAAATTGAGAAACAACTTACCATTCTCTAGTAAAAAATGAATTGTTAGTTGTGTTATGCAATACCTACCTAATATATGTATGTTAAAAACTAATAACACTTCTACTAACTTCTACTAAGGAAAACAATATTTTCTTATTTTTTTTAAACTAATTTATATTTCAATATTTCAGAAGTGGGACGTCACAGCACACAGTCTCGTAAGACATCGAAACCTGTCAATTTGACAATTCCAAACTTTTATTGTGTCAAGATATTTTCGTGTTATTAGGTATATTACAATAAATTATGACGCGTTCTGATCGGCCTCAAATGAAAGACAAAATTTTTTGACTTTAGTCATACTGCAAACTCAAAACTACCGTGCCTTTTATTATTTTAGTAGTTTGCCTGGTATTTTATTAAGTTTACTTCCCTTCCCTCCATCCCCACTTTAACCTAACCTTCTCTAACGCTAAAAGGTCGGCAATGCCATCGTTACTCCTCTGGAGTTCCGAATGCTTATAACCAGGTTAACCGTCTGCTCGTTTCCTCCCTCACATCATCAGCCTACTCGTTTAAGTTCCCACTGTTGACCACAGGTTGGTTGACATAAGGAAAAAGTTTGAACTCTGATCGTTACGCTGCCTCACGACAGACATGCTATTTTGAACCACAATTAAAATATTCAGAATAATTAAGATAATCAGAAATAATAAGTCCAGCTTAGGTTTTTCCTTCTCTGTGTATCAATGGTGTAGATTTAAACTTCAAGAAACGAGCAACGCACCTGTGTCCCTTCTGGTGCTGTAGGTGTCCATGGGCGGCCCAGTACATTAATCATCAGATGACCCATCGTTTGCCTCCTATTCCTTATAAAAAACAAGATTATTTATCTTACGAAGAACCTACATATAACTCTGAAAAAATACATTGTTATGTAACTTTCCAGGCTTCGAACCCGCACCCCCATGATTCTGAAGTTTGAAATATTACTATGTGCACAATAAAATATACGAAGTCACCGAGTACCGGTTACGGTGCCCGTATATTATATATTGGAAGACCACAAAATAATTGAAATAAAAGTATTTGACAATACTACACCCGAGCATAGAATATTACCGTTGTAAAAAGTATAAAACAAGATCGTACTTTTACGTACGTTACGTATCTAATGTCTGATGTTAAGACGACATAGCAAAGGTAGGTACCTCCTCTCCTCCTTATCTAATAGGGTAGTAACCATAAATATATGATCTACTTCCTATCTGCCCCGATGTGAATTCGTTTACGCTGTAAGGACCATCCTCGTACTTTAACGGATATTCTAACTTAAAGTTAAGTATATGGTAAAACATAATAATTACCCTGCCACCATATTAAAAGTAACAGCCCTATAAGTGTAAATAGGTGTGGGAGTGCCAAGATTTGGCACGAATGGGACGGCTCAAATGGAATCGGATTGATACTACGGCCTGAAACAACAACAGCGTTGTTTTTGCCGATTAAGGCAACCCGAGCCCAGATCCCTAAAATTCTCTGAAATCCTACCTCGAAAGGTGAACAACATTACCTTACAACTTACTGTTTAAGAAAACAAAGTCACATGCCATCGAAACCCTTCGTATTTACTGACAGCCGTCATAAATACGTCCTTTCCCATAATCTCAAATCTCACAATTTTGTGGCAATTCTTCCCAAATTCCAAGCTTTACCTGATGGTAAGCTATCGGCGCCGCCAATGGATGCCCGCAACACCAGATGAGTTACGAGTGCATTGCCAGCCTTTTGGGGATTCGGGTCTCAGACATTTAGGGGTTGGGAGACAAAAGAAGGATTGGGCCTTCGGCAACATCTATGTACCGGGCGAAACATAACGTGTTTGACGCTGGGTTTCTGTAAAGTTGTGACATGACCTGGGGTCAGTCGACACATTCATGCAATTCTAAGCATGGCTCTTCTTCAGTTTAAAATATTCACTGCACAGACTCAAGAATGAAGTTCGAAGCAACCAAAGGACGTTGAAGTTTAGCTAGAGTACTGGATTTGACGCTGGTAGAGATCGTCAACGTGGCGACCTACGCGACACTATGCAGACTTGACAGCAGCTCGGTGTCTTGGTGATTGTTTCTAATTACCAGGTCTTGGTAGCTTGGTAGGTAGTGCAGATATGTGTGCGTCGGTACGTAGCCACGTACTTGTGCTCTGTACATGTGTAGTGGAGGGGTCCACGGGTAGCAACCGAGTACTGAACCCGAGTGAACCGACGAGCGTGTGTCACAGCGACGCAGCTCTAAAAACACGCCTGACTGACATAAATATTGTATAGACGAGTTGAGAATGACTAATGAGGCCGTGCATTTCTTGTCGCTGGAGCGAACCTCGAGCTGCTCACTCGTGTTTACGTGTCTCGTAAACTTTATCATGTCAGCGCAAGTAGCCATAGGTACTTTCATTATCAAACTATACATGAACTTACGGAGATGATGTTACGCTTACCCTGTGGACTATAATGTACTAGCCGTCAGGGTAGGATAGAGGTCCGCGACTAACGCGGTGCCGGTGGTGTAATACGCATGATCCCGCCAATATTGTAGCAACGCTTTTGTATTGTAGCAGTATTCTTGTATCTATACCAAATAAATATGTAAGAGTGAGGTATTCATACTGAAAATGTCGTCTGAGTCTTCTCTTCTTTAAACTTATAACTGACTTTTCGAGTAGATCCTCATTGCTAGCATAACAGCACTCTCGCTCTCTCAAATGTTCTTAATTATAAGTCAAGGTGAAATCATTTATTTCAATAAGCCCATTGAGTAAGTACCTATACGCACTTGTGAACGTCGAAGATTATAAAGTACTAGGTATAGGATACGAAAACTTTCATAAAATCAGTAAACTTATAAAACGTTGGTATTAAAAATATATAGGTAATACGTAAGTATCTGTAAGATACAATATTATGTATTTATTCCTTACAAATAAATAGATTTAAAGATATTAAACGATCTTTGTCAGTCGTTTAAACAATTAAAATGATAAAGATAGACACAAAGAAACTGATAAAGAAATCAACATTCGGATTCATTCGGGTCGCGATTGTGATCTAAACTAATCCATGCTTGAAACTTATACGAAAACTGTCGTCAAACTCGTGTTCGGTTATATTGCCGCCCGGCCAAACTGAACTTTATGTTCCTTAAGTTAAGGTGCTGAGTAGAGGTGACATCGTTTGACGTGACTTAGAATGGTAGTTTTTTGCTTGATTTCACATTAATTTCGGAAAGTGTGTGCTAAGTCAGGCTGCGAGGTTGTGGTAGTGTGCGTGCTGGCGTCGCGATGCGAGCGACGTGTGACAGGCGTCCCGCGAATGGCGGCAGCGCATTCCACTGCGCCGGCGCACCTTGTTGGTATTCCGCGGCCGCAGCGCGCGCGCAAACCGAACGCGCAAAAAAGACAATGACTTCGTATTTTATACGTCCCTAAAAGTTCCATCAGCGTATTGATACGATTCGTCTGTCCTGTCTTTAAATGATGAGCCTGGACGCTTTTGTTTTTGAAGGATTCGTCGTTCATGCTGTCGTGCATTTTTTTCCAAATGTCTCGAAGCTATATTATGACAGGTGCTTACGAAGTACACTCATCAACATATTGCATAAGTCTAATGAGACTAGTTTTTTGAATAAACGTGCTTCAATGGGCTGTTTTTGGAAAAATAATAAAATATATGATTTGTGGAAGTTTTGTCAGTAATCTGCCTTAATTTGTTAACCGTCAGCACAACCGACTTCAAGGAACTTTGGTTTAATCACATGATATCTAATGTATACAGATTATTGTTACCAACTCTACTCTTCTTGTGGGTTTTGCTACAACTGCTTAAGAACCTCCACATTCCTAACATATCGGCTAGCGGCAGTAAACTTTTTACGGACGGGTTATACATCACCCAGTGTATATTATTTGACGTAAACCAAACAATTTTGTATACTGTGACAATGGTGTATCGATCAACACTATCCGTCGGAACTTTGTAGATCAACAGACAGGGTACAGGAAGGCGTGTGTAGAGGCGCGGGCGGTGCAGTGGCGCGCCGGGTGCCGCTACCAGGAACCGCGTGTTTGTTCGCTTCTTGTTCTAATATGAAGAGCTTTGTTTGCCCATGTTTGCTGTCGTCAAAGCGGTCGCCGCCGCCGCCCGCCGCCCGCCAGTCAACAGCGCGATGCTCTCTGTACACGTTGACACCGCCACTCTACACCCACACACTAACTTCTGGTACCGTCCACCAGTCCAGAGCAGGCAGTGCGGTGTTTTACAATTACTTTCAAATCTTTATATTCTATACATGTCTTTTTGGTGCAATGTTCCTATTCTATTATATCGGAGACGCTATAAACTATATCACTGATTCTGGATAGAATAATGAGAGTAACGACACAAGTTCTTGTATAATTGTAGAACCGTCGACACTCGTTATGAAGCTGTAAGTGATTGTAATCTGTACTGTCAAACACATTCAGTTGATTCTGTATTCAGTTGACGCTGTATCATATTTGTTAAAACACGTAATTGTACTCATAAATACGTATTTGCCTTATGTCAACTGAAGTTTGTAAATGCATGTATTGAGATCATTGTCAACCGACGGTCTTCTGTTTTAGGCTTGGGGAACGGAGGTAGTGTACCTAGATTAGCTATCCATCAAGCTTGGGATGGCGGGTTGCCGACTTGAGCGGGTGCTACTGACTGCTGCTGCATGTCTCTCAGCGGCGGATGGCACTCCTACGATATAGTCGGGCACATTTTGTCTATGACTAGTAAAATAAAGTCCCCTGGAATAGTTGTGCTGCGGTTTCTGGGTCCTGCTCGCTGGAGGCGCTGCGTGGTGGGAGTGAGCCTTCTGTCGTGATGTAGCACGAGTGGTCGTGTGCCGGGCTCGCTCGCTGCTCGTGACACGGCCGGTACAGACACAGGGTCGGCGCCCCGTACCGTTACTTTTATGGCTACTGCCGAAATTTTGGCGCTCGCCGTGTACACTAGCTTCCACGATAATACTCCGCTCGTCTCATCACAGTAGTTATCTTATGTTGAGACAAACTTAATGTTTTCCTCGGTAATCATGTTTGATATATTTACTTAGGTACCTACTTATTGTGTTTATATTTTAGGGATCATGCTCGATCCCTTATCAAACCTGCTGTACGTACTGTAGGTACACAATGTGTGCAATGTACAAACGTTATTGTACTGCCGATAGCTTAGCTCCGTCTGTGTGTACATCAATCAAGTACATAACGAGGTGTATAAGCTACCGCCCACTAGTAGGTATTGTAACTTCTTTACTTTCTAGTTCGTGCAACATACAAGTAGTTACTTTTCTCCTCGAGTAGTCTGCAAGGAAAGTGATTTGAAAGCGACATCATCACTATGCAGGGGAGGATAGACAAGGCTTTCCCAAATCATTGCGAGTTGGCGTGCTCCTGCCGTGACGTCATAACAGACCACTAAACACAGTCACCGCGCACTTTACTTAGGTACATGCTGGATATAGAAATGATTATGATTACATTTAATAGAATACGGTAGTTTCCAACTAGTCAAATTCAATACTTTTATCCAAATGTCAAAAACGATACTTTTCTATGAAATTTGTACGAAAAACTGAGGTATGACGTCATAACAGTTTTGCGTCAAATAGCTTACTTATTTCTGAATAATGAGCTAAAAAAATCTAAAACTTAGTGTATCGATCGATCGATGAATAAAAGTATAGTAATTTTTCAATATTTTAATGTATTAAAACGTCGAATTAATTTATTTTTAACCTAGGATACTACCCAAGTCTAGGGTCACGAAGCTAGCTGCCCGGATACATCATATACTTACCGCTCTGCGTCACGCGGCTGTTAATTTCACAATTTAATGTTATTATGGACATTTTTGTCTGAAAATAAAGCTAAATTTTTTGAGCATTATGTACAAAGTTAAATGTCGAAAAATTAGAATAATAGTCCGTCAGCCAGGTAAAAACTGAAGCTAGGTGTCTGCATAAGTATCACATCAATGTTGTGGCGACCTTATTGGTAGACTTTATAAGATGCCATGTCCTGCTGCAGCGCCCCGCCAGCACACACCACGCTGTACTCCCTCCGCTGTTATAGCAGTGGTAAGATCCCTCTTTGAGCAGAGGCTTGAGAGACACCATGGCGGCCTCACCTTCCGCCTTGGCTTTGAAAAATTAAAATAGTTTAATGTATGCCGTGGTCTCCTGTTTCTACTACATTCCTACCAATAAACACAACGCCGTAACGGTTGGTAAATATGTATAGGTAAGCTGTGACAGTTTTTTTTTGTTATGAATTTCAACTCAAGGCTCTTGTTTTAATGAAGTGTATATTGAATATGTGTACATGAAACATCTAGGTATACACGTATTTATAGTTAGGTAGGTAGTGTTACATAGAGCTAGATGTTGGCGTAGTATTCGTAGCGTTGCGCGCTGCGTCGTGTGGTATGGTCGCGCGTCGCTTGCAATTCTGTCACGCGGCGGCGACACGGCCCGAATGTTGCGTGCGCGCATTACTGCGAGTGTTCTCACGTCGGCGGCAGTTAGCGCGAACCGCACCGTTAATCAATCGCCGAGCGTGGGAGCAGCGCGCCACGTGCGACCCTCGCTCCGCCACCAGGGCGCTGCAAGCCCCTGCTATTTACAGCAGCACCTCGACTGACTGACATCGCGCTGTGAAAAACGACGCCAAGCGCAGCGCGGCTGCAGCATTCTGTGCGCAGGCGCGAAATACGAAACAATAGTGGTTTAAAATACAATGAGTGCGACCTGAAATACATAACATCAGCGACATTCCCGTCACGACCGCGCGCTTACCTTTTTCGACTATTTTGTTCGTGTCCGCGGCGGCCGGCGGCGGCGTAGGAGCCGATCACGAGCCCCGACCTCTCTCCTTATTAATAACGTGGTTTGAATTGGAGATTCAGTAAAGTTTGCGCTTCGGCCGGTGAAGAGCTGCCACTCAGTCCACTCGCTTGGCTCGAGCTGGTGCTAGAGGGGTTGCGACTCCCACGTCCCATTCCGATTTTCGAGTGCTTAGCATTCGTGGCGGTGCGTCGCTTCGTCTGCGAGCGCAGATTATGTATGCGCTCGTGATTAAATAAACACGTCGCCGATGCAGCGATGAGCCACTAATTGCTGATCGCAATTCAGCGTGACGCGGCGGAGACACGACCGCGGCCGTGGCCCGCACATCCTAGCCTAATTGTCGCGGTCACACCAGTTTAGCATACATTACAATAGGAATCAGCTATTCCACCGCTGTCTTGGATGCCATTGTCAAGTACGTCGGAGATCCTTGCGATTATCTGCTCTAAGACGGTCGCGATTAATGTCTGTTCGGGGTAACACGGCGAGAGGTGGTTAGGACGTCGTATAAGGCAAGTATCTCGAAGTGGATACGCAAATTGTCTAATTAACGTGTTGGTCAGGGAGCGCGCAGTGGGCTTTAAATAAGAATGCGATGGTAATGGCGGCGGTGCACGCCGCGCCGGCCGGCGTCACGTTATGTGCCCATATGTATGTCGCGTCCGTCCTCTTGATCGATGGAAGCCTGTTTTATAGCGTTTACGAGCGGCGACACACATTTTTTCTGTTATATTTCGCAGGTGCTATTTTTATTAGTTTCAAAACGGACTTAGAATACCATTACCACCACTTCAAGACGTTAGCACACAGAACATTAGTGTCATTATTTATTTGACTCTAGCAAAATATTGCCACGCAATGTCATCACATGTATCCTTGGGGACTTGGTCTAAAGTTGAGACTGTTCGTTTTACTTAATTCATAATCCAGCTACCTTTACTACTACTGTACAGCGCAGACAATAATATTCTTGTCTTCATCTGTAATCTGCAATGATATTAAAGTACCGTTTTTTTGGACGGATACACCAGTATCTATATGTGTTCTTTACAATAAAATTCAGACGTTGAACAGTTCCTTCTACTATCTTTTAAATTTTAACCAACGGGAAAATCAGAAGAGGTTCTAAAGTTAGTATATTTTTATGTATAACCAGGCAAATCTAAACAAATACATATAGACCGATATCGATAGTTTATTTGTGTATGTCTGTGCTCCCTAAAGAGCCCTGCAACGCACTTGTGACTGTGTTGCGATGTTACTGGGTGGCGCTAAATATGTTATCGATGAAGAAACTTAGTTTTGTTCTGTTGTATCATTCAACTTAAGTATCACATTATATTCAAATAACGCGTTCAATAAATAAACATGATATCGTGGTTATCATCGCAGGCACTAGTGCTCCACGCACACATTGCGCTCGGACTTATCTACTAGATATAATTAAGTTTGGTGTAGGGCAATAGGTCCATCCCTCATCTCGTGCAGCTCGTCAAATATCTGGTGAAAACTGGATGTACATATACTTTCAACCATTTGGTACAAGTTGATTCTTTGTTAGGAGTTGATATCTTTATTCAATGTTACACAAGAATACAAAAAAATCCTAGTTTTGTTTCTTGTTCGTTCTTCTCCATAGGAATCTACACTTTGGAACGAGCAAATAGCTTCACTAGAGGACAGACGGACAGACTGACACATAAAGTTAAACCTTATGATATCTTTTTTGCTTGACGTTCAAAAGTGCCTTTTTTGGTCTATTTGAAATAAAGAATTTGATTTGATTTGATTTGATTTGTATGAAACAGAAGAAAATCTTAATTTTGATTTGACTGCATGGTTACTGTTTTTTATGATATAGGGTGGCAAACGAGCAGTTTCTTTACCTGGTGGTAAGCAATCGGTGTCGCCCATGGACCCACGAGCTGTATTGAGTGCGATGCCTTCGGAGATTTAAGGATAAGGTAGGGATGGAGAGAAGAGACGGATTTGGCCTCCGGTAACCTCACTCGCAGCGCGAAACACAACGCTGTGATTATTTCACGTCGATTTTCTGTGAGTTTTCAGATGTTTTCAGATGATTGTCAGCGATGTAATTGAGACACTTTGTGGTCAAGTCGTCCCAGAAAATGCGCAACGCGACACCAGTCTGATTAACGTGTAGTGTGTGACACCTCTCCCCATAAGTAGCTTTTTTTCTAAAAAACGGGTGAGGTGTCACGCACACTACAAAGTGCAGGATTCAAAACAATAAAGTTCTCTGCGTGATAACAAATTGTTTCGGGTCTAGGAGTGCTGTCTGCTTTGTTATTAACCCATGATGTAGGAGAATATCACAATGTGGCGCTGCGTTATTAAAAGATTGAAATAAATGGAAGTGTAAATGGAAGTGTGTATTGTAGAACAGAGGCTGGTGTCGTGCAGTACGTGTGCGAGGCTGCTGGTGCACAACCCTCGCCGGGTCACGTCACCGGAAATCACATTTTTACGTGTTCGTCGCCGGGACGGGGCACGCAACTCTTCACATGGCCTATCATCAAATAAAACCTTTTACACTTTTATTCTTTATTACCTTTTTGGGGTTATGATATTTCCGGTACCGAATAAAGACCAACATTCATTTTGGCATTACTTCCTTTTTCATATAAAATCAACCTGCGATTCTTAGTTTGCATTCGGACTTGGAAAAAATATCAAGGAGTAAAAATCCAAAAAGCGAAATTTTAAGGTCCTTCTGTTAAGATCAGAAAAGGAAACAGTAGCTAGCGTTGAGAGTGAGCAGGCAGCGGCTGGGCGACGAATGGTCGGGTCCCTTCCTGCACGTCTGCGCGACAGACGAGGCGAGGACAGGGCACGTACTCCACGCGACGACGAGGACGTGGCTTCCTGCGCACTCAGCAACCACGGCGGCTCAGCTGCACACGATGTTATTGACATGGACACATTCACTTGTCTAATTCTATTTCAGTGGATAAATATACATATACCCTTCACATACTATTTAGGTACTAGTTTTGTTTAGCTCTTTGTTTAGTATTGACAGTTACAATGAAGCTGTCGTCTACATACCAAGTTTTTCTTCGAGAAATATTTGTTAAGTAAACTACATTTATATTACTACCGCCGTATTGACGTCGGTTCAGCTAATGCAAGTCGTAGATATATGGTTACGGTGCTTACTGTACGTGAAGATTTAGCTTCGTCCCGGTTGATGTATGAGAAGGAAACATAAACAGGAGTTTTTGTTACAAAACGATGCTCCCACGGGCCAACCGAGTCGGAAACACAGAATCCGTGGTGCATATAAATGGGATATTGTTGCCAGACTCGCCGCTGCCGGCAGGAAATACTTCTCAACTTACAATTAAGGCTCACGAACTGTTTATCACGTTATGACATCGCGCCCCTCCTGCTTCCTCATATACATCCAGATTTCGCTGGTGCGGTGCTGGGTTCCATGAGATAACGGGCAAATGCTTTTGACCCAGTGCAACATTGTGGATAATGTCAATGATCAATTGTTGAAAGTCAAAATCCAAATCATTTATTTCACTGAGACCATTATCTGCCCTTTTAAACGTCAAAATTCAGAGGAAATGAGTGTTTTAATATAAAAGATTTCATAATAAGTTTGGATGTACCTGTTTCGACTGAGCTAAATTGCAATGAATGGGAGAAGCGGTAGAATAACGCGAATCGAAGGATATTTACTAAAATTAAGGTAAGTAAATAAATATATGGCTCAAAACAAACAAGTTCGGGTTGCGAGTTTATTAGTTCCCGGAGTGTCGGACGTCAAACATTAGCATGGTAAAGTGATGCAGGCGGGGGTCGCCGCTGTGGCCGCGCCACCCTGCCATACAACACATATTCCAACGATAACGACGCAAATTAATGAATTATGTAGCGAATGCGCACGCGCATGATAAAATCAGTACTGCGCGAGATTAGTCAAACCCACGGACACACTTACTGTTATACTTGATGACAGTTTATTTATTTATTGATTCATGAATTTATTGATGTTATACCTAATAGAATGATGTTTGAGAGTAACGCGAGCGCTATTTGTGGACGAGGGTAGGAGCTAGGTATGTATTTTTTGAGATTATTTAGATTCCACTTACTGGTAGGTACAGGGTTAAGGAATACACTGTGAGTAAGGAAATCTTGACTTATAATTTTTAACTAAGGGTAAGAGAATCCGCCGTGAGGAATCATGGTAATTTATCCTTTTAAACCTTCTCCGTGTGAGAAGAGGTATTTGCGCAGCAAATGGGCACTTAGAAGTTGACAATCCGTTGATGTTGTCTCTGTCTGCATACAATAATATAGCTTGCTGGTGTTCTACCGCAGAAGATAATAGGTACATTGTCATTATTTCTGGATTTAAGTTAAAGTTTTAAGTTCAATAATCTAGTTTTTGAATTATCGCCAAAAATGTAAATATATTTAATTAAAGTTTATAAAATGGATCTTCATGACGCCGGCAACTTGTAGGTACTTATTATTTACTTTCTTCTTTTCCGTAAAGATAGCAGCGCACGAGTATATAGGCAGGCGTTAGTTGTCAGGGGCACCGAGTGTGCACACTGCTTACATTTTTATAGCAATTCTCATAAATTTAAATAAATACATTCGGAGTTTCCTTCGTCAACGGCTGCCTCATTACTATGGACCTATTAAATATTACCTTTCGACTTTACATCCGAATTATGCTAGTTTTATAAATATGTATCTTAGGACTTGTAATTAAGGTCGGTATCGGCGTGGTCGGGCCGGGCCGGGTGATGGATCTCTGGTCCGAGGTGAGGAATGATTGACGCGTTCGATCGCATCTGAATAATGCGCGTCGCCTCCCGAACATTTCCATGAATCGCATGAATATCAAACGATGTTTGTGCTTCTTATTTTTTGTTCAACTTTTTTAGCCTCATTTGCAAGAAACGCCATTATAAACAATTGTTATTAGCTGGGTGTCAACTCCGCGACGTGACATATTGCTTCGTGTTTAGGGAAGATGCATCAGATTTAATCGTTACAATAGTTATACCTTCGAAGAAGTTTCCGTAATCATACAATACTATTAGTAGTCCATACAAAATGTATGTAATTTGAAAAGTTTAGTTGACAGTCGTTTGTATGATCAATGTTAAATATTCAACTGTCACTGGTAGTTTAATCTAAGCACACTTACCTAATAGGTACTTATCTACCTGTCTGTTAGTGGTTATATTTTCTTTGATATACAACTAGCTTCCGACCGCGGCTTTACCCGCGTGGTATGTGTACAATAAGTAGCCCCTGTCCCAATGACGATATAACTACCTGTCCTATTCCGGAAATTTCATTGAGATTCGTCCAGCCGTTTTAACGTAATTGAGTAACAAACATCGTAACTTTCGTATTTATAATATGAGTAAAATTAGCGTATCGGAGGACTGAATATAGCTAGGTCTGAGGTGTAACCGGGGTTGGATGATGTCGAGTGCTCGCCTAGGCGGTGAGGTCCGGCAGTAAGGTGGTGCGGGCGTTGGCTGGTGTCAGCGGCTGCTTGTTGATTCCGGCGCGACTCCATTCGACGAGTTATTACCGCGAGCGTCAATTGTGATTCCGCGGGCATGCGCGCGCGCACCGCATACATAGCAGCTGGACGCTTTAGTGCCTCCGTGAGGCTTCACAATGTTAGAAAACTCTGTTTGTACGTGCCTCGCTCCCGTACATACGTGCGCGTATGTATCTACCACCGCACCACCGACCACAACATCTAGCTCTCACTCACAAACAATACGTATACATAACTCTATTATCAAGCTGAATACTAATTCTTATTTAAACATCAGTTTTCTGAACCGTTTCAGTGTCCATAGGTACATTAACACAGGGAGATACATGGCACCTACATTAGTCTGGTTACTCCCTGAGGTATGTGAGTATTGAAAAGGCGAAGTTTACTGTTTGTACGAGTATCGGGCAGTCAAACTTTACTGAATTACATCAACAAGTTCTTAAGTTGACACTCGTATTTATGGAAAGGTATCGATGGATGGATGTTGCAAGCACTACACTTAGGTTTCAATTGCTATTGTTAGCATTACGCTGCATGAAGGCAGTGAAATATTCTAGTAGTGTGTATTTGAATGATGTGTTACCATTATGTGTAGTAATTGTTGTGCCTCCTTCAATACGTGTAAGAAAATTTTTTATCGATTTAAAAATTATAAAATCGATTGGTACGTGGGTACTTGTTTGAAAACTGTGTCCATTTCATGAGAAATGTTGTTATATTTACAGTTGCTGGAGGCTGGAGGCTAAGAGGCTGGCGGCTGGTGGCTGGAGGCTGGAGGCTGGAGACGGTTGGTTGGCTGGCGGGGCTGCTGGCGGGTCACGTCGCGCGAGTGCCGGCGGCGGCGGGTTATCGCTGCAGATCGCTGGCGGCGCCACGCTGCGGCTGCGCTCCGCTCATGCAAATTGTATATTTTTATAGCGCTTCACGTAATTGAACCGTACGTGGTCGTATATTCGCGTCTTCTCTTTGAGACCGGCCGCGACGCTTGTTTAGCCTTTTCCGTGTCTCGTTTACCTCTCATTTGTTTTTGCTTTCTGTTCACATACCTACATCGCAGAGCGCTATCGTACTAATCTAGCACGTCGGCAATGAATTATTGTTGTTTGTTTACCGGACATATTTTGTATACCTGCATAATCTGCAGACAGTACGAAGTTATGGATACTGCTTCTAGTTAATGTTATGTCTACCGTGACCTGGATGAGGTAAGTTATTAACCTGTACATATTTAGAGGTCTAGGAATGAGCTTATGCGCTTTGGTAAGTCAATACTCAAACAAACCAAGTAAGTAGCAGAGCATCCATTCATGATTAAACCCTTGCTGTCCGCTCGCGATTCTTTCGTATGTATTGGTGGCTCACAAGTTCACAAGTTTACATTGAACTGGGCTAATCTGCAACATGCAAAAACAATTTCATAAACAATAAATTCGAGTGCGGCGCGCCGAGCGCCGGCGCATTCTCTCCGTGATCCAGCAGATTAACGGGCTGTGCTCGAATTAAATTATTCGTGTGCTGCGCTGCAGAAGGTCGTAAGTAGCAGTGAGCTGGTGGGCCGGGGGACGTTTCGCGGTGGCGAGGTGCCGCCGCCGGTAGCGCTCGCTCGATATGTATCGCGCCGGTATAATATTGCTCGCCTCGTTTTGCTCGCGAGTGCTCGCCGCTGTTTACTGCCCACTTAATGCCGCGGTTGCTGCTCCAATTGCATCTGATGAGATTACGAGCTCGTTAATTTGATTGTTCTTGGTAAACTTATTTGAAAATAACCTCCAAGTTGCACAATGTTGGTTTAAATGTTTACATTTAGGTACTTTGCAAGACTTTCGATTACAACGTGTAAGTAAGCCCGGCTGCTGTAGTAATAGATATGTAGCAATGCAGAACAGCAGACTTGCTACAGTATTATAATCAGGCTACTGGTTGTGCCACTATGCCAATATGGCGAGCTAATTATTAAGTTCATAAATAAAAAAATGTGTAGTGCATGGCAGGCAGGCCGCTGCAAAACGAAGAATAAAATGAATGTTTTATTTTTAATAACGTAATTACTGTTCGGAGCGGTGCCGCGGGGCAATCAAATGCAGCCGCGGGCGGCGCTAGCTTGCACCGCACTGCACTCACTGCTGGGATGTAGCTCCAACGCCTGCACTAGTGCTACGCATTGCACTGCTGCGGAACTATATGCAGCTGTACTGCTAACTTGGGGCTGCGGATAATGAATGTGCCACAAGTTATCACGCATGCGCATGATGTGTTCCACGCATCAGGAGCTTACTCAGATTAGCAGAGTCTGACATCCTTCTACATCATCCATTTTTATTTTATACTTAATTAAGGCTTATGTATAAATGTGTAGCGCATCGATATGTCGATTGTTCAATAGAAGTAAATAATTTCTTTATGTATTATAATATTTTTTATTATTTGCATTTAGTCTGTCGATGACATCGGGCGCCGCCTGCCGTGGCGCCGGCGCGGGCGTCGTCACTGCTCCATTTCAGAGATGTATGTGCTACGTGACGTCCGTGCTCTCAGCACACCGTGCACTACACCTAGCGAGGTACTGCTGGGTAGTTACAACAACAGTCTGTTGTCAAAACGAATAAGAACACAATTATTGTTAATAAAACTCACTGCGCGAAACTCAACGCAGGCGATTATAGGGATGATGGTGAAACGGTAATTAATAATGATGATGCAATAACAAACTTGAGTTTGTTACTTCTACATTACTGTACTAACCGAGGTTCTCTCCTTACTAACATGATCCAATGCATGCGAGCGGCTATTGCTGGGGGGTGATTATAGTCCATAAGGATATCTTCAACCAGGACCTTATGTTCCTCCAACTAAAACACCCATCGTAGTCTTGTACTCATTTAATCTAATGTTATATATTACATAAGGTTTAGGTTAGGTACTTGCAACATAGCTTGTGTTACAAGTACCTAAGCCAGTAAGTAATGTAATGTAAGTAAGCTTGGATAAGGACTAAAAGGAAAAACTGATAAATGTTGATTTGACACAAGCTGGTAATGTTTAATACATCTAGGTAAATTACTTTCTGCACAAGAACAGTAAAGTGTTGATGTCGTGGCGACAGATAAACAAGGACACAATAAATAATAATGCAAGCAGTATCATACATCGTGCTAGTATCATCTATCAATAATATAGTTAATGGTGCGAAACTGTAAAGGTTCGTTAATTATTATTTGCCTATAGAGGCATACATTGTAAATGCACGCAGCAGTGTGTGAGTGGCACAAATATTCCAGCGGCTATTCTAAGTGGTGTATGTTAGTACATAGGGACAAACGTTGTAAAATTTCCAAATATTATTATCAAGTACAAATTTCTAATAAGCTACTTTTGCACGGTTTAGCTAATGGCGGCTGCATTCCTTTCCACAATTTTATAATTCCTATCAATTGCCGAAGCGAGCTCGTAATAGGCCCGATTGGAAGCGGACACCGTGCTCAGCTAAATTGTGCCACGTAATCATGTCATTATAGTGTAATTGTGCTCCCGAAGCAGCTCCGGGTGGCTTGCGCCGAATATAGACAACTGGTTGGTGATCGCGTATACACTGACTCCTTGCGTGTGTGACGTTTTGTCAACAATGCAAATATGAAATAACTTTAATCTGGGTGAGGATGCCTCGACGTGAACATGTGGAGTGGGACCACTCTGGTTATAGTATTACAAGTTTATATCTGTATCGCAGTGGCCGGACATGTCTGCTCGGTACATGGACCGCATGTGGCAATACTTGTCTGCGCAGAATTCCAGCGGTAGGTAGCCTGTACGAGTGCGCGGCCCTACATAAGTGTGTTAAGAATTTTTACACCTAGTTACTAAACAATACCTATTAGTGTTCTGTTGTGGCGCTGTAGTACCTCATGCTGTACCTGGACAGTAGTGAGGTGTGCGACCTTCTCCAGCACTATGACATTTAGAGTTCAACAAAAAGCAAGCGCCGGATGCAGCGCGCAGTAATGAGCTATTCATTCCATTGTTCATTCCATGTCACTCAAGTACATATAATATAATGATTTGCAACATAATCGCATAACGTCTGTACGAAGCCTGTCGTAGGTAGACATTGGTCGGAGTCGTGCCGCTGTCGTGTCGCGTCGCAATTACGCAGTGCGTGGGATGAGCCTTAATATTCCTAAATCATAGTGCGGGTAAGACGGGTAGCGAGCCAATTTAGTGCAACATGGTCGCGACCAGCGCCCATAATGAACAACCGATTACGTCCTGTCGTATCCCTCCGCTGCCTCCCCGCACCCTGCGCCCTCACGCCCGCTCTCTGCTGCGTTTCTAATAAGATGAGTGGATCTATTTTAATTGATCACTGATATCGATTCTCGTATAAGTTGCTTTTTGATTTTTTCTTGCAAATTTTTATTTCGCTGAACACTGCTAAATTGCCATCTCCTAGTCGCTTTTAACTTCGAGCATTTACTAATCCCACTAATTGTATGTCAGGAGTGAGTGCGTTATTAAATCGGGCTACAAGTAACGCGAACACTGTAGCTGTACTTGTCATTATTTATATTCTCTCTGGTATTTTAATATATCACAAGTAAACGGTGACATGTTACGTTTTCAAGAAATTGTAAAACTACGGATTAAGAATGCAGTAGGGTGCAGTTGGCTAAGGTAGCGCGGCACGAGGTCTGGCGGTGTCTGGCGATGTCTGGCGGTGGCCGGCGGCGTTGGGAGCCGATTTATTTAGCGGTCGGCAGCCGGTACAGCAACCATTTGATTGAACTCCTCCCACTAATTATGTTCTTATGAAATAAACTTTGCATTTTAACTGGAACACGCCGAGTTTAAACCACGACGCAACTGACTGCTTCCAACGATAGAACGTCATCATTGATTTTTGAAACTATTACAATAAGGAGGGATTTTGTATAATCTAGTTGGTTCTGTAGCTGATTTGAAGGCATATATCTACTACTTGGTTGTTAGCTGTGTTTGATTAATAGTCGAGATATTGTGTGTAGAAGTTGTACCTACAAATACAAAAGCAGAGGTATCATAGAGCATCTCATACATGCATTATTTGCATGAACGAATGTATCAGCAAGCCTGTGAACGAATGAAGCAAATAGAATTATAGACGTTTTGTTGTATAATTAGTGACAACAATGCGTTACGAATGCTACGATAGCTTCCGTTTAAAAAATATTGTCCAGTTCCTTTAAAAGCAGACAGGCCTAATTAGTATGTATTTTAAGAAAAATGAACAGATATCGATTGTATGTGATACATCAGCTGTCTTCTGCTCATACGTTCTACAACACTTGACACTGCAAAATGGTAGTCTTAAATCATGACGCTTCGGTCCGGGATATTAATGCTCAATATGTATTGCATTAGCCGTTCCATCTGATACGAGATCTCGGTCCCAGGTGCCGACACACTGCAGCACTGTGTCGAGGAGTGCCAGCATTCTACGCACTAAAGTTACAGTGTACAGTGTTACAGTGTTAACAAATGGAAGACGGTGGAAGTGCGCTCAGTCACTCGCCTGGCCCCGCCCCACTGATGGCGACTGTCATCAAGCCCGACACGTGAAGTAATAGTGTTGGGAACACAATTAATTGGCCGCATCCTGGACGCCGCCATTTTACATGAACATGAAAAACAAAAATGCGTTCTCGTTAAGTAGTCAGTCGTAACGGTAGATCCTTTTAGTGAGCCCTTGAAATACAATCCATAACATGCAGTAATGTATCTAGGATAATGGTTTACATCAAACAAAAAACAACAGCATCATATACATTTCCGAATACAAGTATTTTGAAGACTATTTGTTAGGATTTAATGGCCAACATAGCCTTCGGTAGAATTTAGAGCAACTCCTTAAGTCGGGAAATCTTATTTTAAACAAAAAGTATGGACATTGAACAGATTTATATAAATTATTCATACATGAAAACTAGATAATTTTTTTGATAAATTACTTTAAACTAAAATAATCATAATATTATATTTATCCAAGCCTTTAGCGTAGCACCAAATTCAAGTAAAAATACGTGAACCATATCTTATATATAAATATGGATCACAGAATAGTGTTGGTAAGCGCATAACTCAACAACGCCTGGACCAATTTTGCTAATTCTTTTTTTTTATATTTGTTATTGTCAGAAGAAGGTTCTTATCAATATTAGAAAAGTAGAGCGGAAAATTGGGAAAAAGTGACCCTTTGATACGAGATTGTTGGACCCGTGCGATGCGGGGCGGGCCGCTAGTTTTTAATAAATGCTTGTAATAAACATTACTAAAAATGCCTACATCATATCATCAGCCTATAAGCGCCCAATTCTGAGCAAATATTTCTTTTTATACGGAGAAGATATTTGATTACGTTTGCTCAAGGCGGATTCAAATTTATAATTAGAAATTATAAGTCCAGGTTTTGTTTCAATGCTATCCTTCAGCGTATCTCAGTGGTGTCTGAAAAATCATAAAAAGTACATAATTATGTCTTGTATATGTACTTACAGTCTCATAATATGTATGTAAATATGTACTTACATATTATGACTGCACGGCTGGTGCGGTGGCTGGGTAACTGGCTGCCGTGCAGCGTGTCGCGGGTTCGATTCCCGCACGGAACAAATCTTTGTGTGATCCACAAATTGTTGTTCCGGGTCTGGGTGTCATGTGTATGTGAAGTTGTATGTTTGTAACCGCACCCACGACACAGGAGAAAATCCTAATGTGGGGCAACGTTTTACTTAAAAAAAAGAAAAAAATCAAATTATCTTTAACTCGGAAATAGTAAGATTGGTACTTGCCAGGTTTCGGCGGGTCCTTGCCTTTACCTCCGGACCACAACCATATTATTACACCAAATAGTAAAATGTATAAAATGAAGGCAGTGAAGAATCACTCAGCGCCTGATTCATCATCTTCCCTGAATCCCCGAAGAACTTATGTAGCACACATACAATTTGCGTTCTTTATACAAATTTGTCTGGTAGTACATAGCGGCTTTTTAGACTCAGTATACCTAATCTAAGTGTAGAAGAACCAAGCGTCGGCACGAATGGATTGGAACGGCTCGAGTTATTAAAATATAAATTCAAATTAGACATATTGGTACATCATCATTTAAAACGTGTATATACCTTAGATTAAAACTTATTTCACGGGTTTACGTGTTTGATTAGTATGAGTACGTGGTTCCTTCGTGTACCTGCTAGTACCATTAGATTAGAGCAGATCAAGTCGGTGGATAAGTAGGTAAGGTACATATTGCGGCAGAAAAATGTGAGGAATGGTTAGTGTATCGCATATAAAGCGAGTCTTGGGTGAGACCTGCGCTGCCCGCGCTACGTCCAGGTCGGAATTTAAAAAGTCACGCGACAGCTGTCAGCGTGGCCGTCGATCGCGCAACCCACACGTACTTGTAGCACTAGTAGGGCACCAAACGTAACGTGTCGACAATTTATGATATTGCAGTAAAAACAAGCGAGCTTCGCGCAATGCATTCGTGCGATGCAAATACAAAGAATTACCATTACAAGCAGCAGGTAGAGGCCGCCATGCAGGGTAGGCATCGATGTCCCGTCACGGTCCGTCAGACATCACTTGTCTTGCACTTTGGTGCGCCATTATTGCTCAACAAAGTCACGCAAAAACCTATCAGCTGTGTGCCGTGTTCATTTGTCCCTCATACTTGTAAGTACATGAAGAGGTTCCAAATAGAAATGTAGGAATAAGTACATCGTGAACGGTCTCGTTGGTCGAGTGCTGAGTGTGCACCAACTACTGACCAAGCCACACTTTCTGGTATACCTCATATTGGTTTTACTGCTGTCTGTTTGCTAATTTTCGTAATATAATAATACATGGTGTAGAACTGTAAGCTGACCTAGTACTACATTTTTATAGTTGCTTTTGTATTTAATGCGCGTCTGTAATTTGCTTTACACATAAATGTATAGTTACAAAATATTATTTTGATCTGACATGCTACACTAACCACTAATTATTTCTTATCTTGAATTGATTAAACATATCATCAAACACATTATCACTAGACTAGTTCTCTAGTTTGAGCACGATGAGCGATTGGTCAGATCATCCATTTTGTTGGGAACGAAGCTGTCCATGATGACGACCCTTTGTTTAGACGTGGAAGAGCCATAGTTCGGCAAGAATAGGCGGAATTGACCGGAGTGGAACCACGGTCTTACAAAACACTAGACTATAAAGAAGTAATTGAACAATAAGTAACCAACTAACTAGTGTCTTCAATAATTGTCTTCTAGGTGGCATACGGAATATAATAAACATTTATTTCTTTAAAGAATATGCCCTAGACTAGGATTTTCACATATGTCGTGGGTGCGTTTACAAACATACAAATTCACATACATATCATAGAGTTTTCCCGTGCGGGTATCGATCCCCCGACACGTTGCTCGCTATTGCCCAGCCACCGCGGCAACCGTGAAGTCGCACCCCCAGGCCAGACCAGGTTTTTATTCATTAGGAGTCTGTCATCATCATCGTCATCATCAGCCTACAAGTGCCCACTGTTGAGCAAAGGCCTCTTCTCACATGGAGAAGGTTTGAGCATTAATCATCACGCTTGCTCAATGCGGGTTGGCGATATCAAACTTATAATTAGAAACTATAAGTCCAGGTTTCCTCACGATCTTTACCTTTACTGTATGTCAGTGGTGTCTAAATACCTAATCATAGAAAGTACATATAAACTCGGAAAAAGTCACATTGGTACTTGCCAGGATTCGAACCCGCACCTTCATACATAAGAAACAGGCTCCTAAACCTCCGGGCCACCACGACCTGTCGTAGTCGCAGGAGTCTTTCACTCTTTCTTTTCCTACCCTGGGCGGGAGAAATCATTTGATGATATCCACCTTTAAAAAAACCTTCCGACATGAAAATGTCGTGACATGCAGGCGCGGCTTGCGTCGCGTCGGCTGGACCAAGCAATGGTGACATATTAAAGCAGTTATTTACATTAAGTACTAAAATAAAGCTGTTGATGACGATGCAGCCTGTAACGTACCAGCACTAGTAGATATATTGGTAGTAGTATCCTGTGGGTGTATGACACACAATACAAGACAGAAGGTGGATGTAGCGTGGGCAGCGCCGCCCCGCCTGCGCGCGCGCCGCTGTACACCGCTCTCATCAACCGACTGTATAAGCATAACATGCGAGTACTTATTATAACTTCTCTGTAGTAACAGTAGTAATCACATACATTAGAGGCTAGCGGTATTTTGTACTAAGTTGACGTATCCACGACATTTAAATAGGTACTATGTTAGTAGGCGAAGTTTTTGTTTTGTAATTTGTGATTAACTAGGACCATATGCAAATATTTGAAATTGGGCGGAGGCAAGGGAACGAGTATAGCAAGCATGCTAAGGGGTACTGGCCCTGATACAACAAGTTCCCTTACAGCTTACTTTACACAAATCGGTGTACGTGTATTTCAAATTAATGGTACGTTTGTCGTACCCACGACGACGCAGGACAACATCTAGTGTAGGGATGGTTTAAATAATGCTATGAGAGACGGAAGTGCCACGCACCTTGTATGATGCCTTGTAAACTTTGCTTATTGTATTGAACATAATATTATATTATATATATATAATATTGATTGTATCTAAATTGACGAAACTATTATGTATTATTAGATTGCTTTATATTTTGAAAAAGAATACCTGGACCCCACTGCACTCCAAACTTGGATATTTTTCTCCTGTGTCGTGAGTCTCAAAATTTTTTCTATAAGACCTTCATCACAAAATGAACATTAGCCACAATTTTATTCGTGGTAGATACAAACCAGTTCCCCGGAGTTGGTCGTCGTTGGCCATTGGGGAAGTTTTAGTCAGGTAATCCCACACTTAAACTTTCTGCCAAAAGTTAAGAAGGTTTTATCCCGCCGTAAAAAAGATACAAACTAGTTGTGAGAGAATTAAAGTTATTCAACTCAACAGTCGCAATAATATACAAGTATTCAATCAACGAGTCAATGTTCCTACTAGAACCTTCCAGCAATAAATAGGTATACCTAGGTATATAGGCTACTACAGTATCCCGCAGTACCTAGGTGTTGTCTGAGGCGTCGTGTGTGGTCAAGTGGTCAGAGAGGCGCGGTGTCGCCGCGAGCGCTCTCTGCACTCCTCGCGAATTGAGGCGCGACCTCGGACCTCGGACCTCGGACCTCAGGCCGACACACCGACGTACGCGCATTGTGCATGTGCAGATTGTGCAGTATTCATTCACACTCTCCCAAAGTTCTGTGTTATGGTTACTTACGTCTTAGGTAAGCAGGTCCAGCTTGTAATACCTATTTATGTTTACTCTGTGTAACTACCTAATCGACTTATATTTAAAACTAGCTTTCGCCAGCGGCTTCGCCCGCGTGCTGTTTTGATAAAAATCAGCCTATGGCATTAGAACAAAATCGAAGTATACATAAAATTTGTTATTAATCGTCTCGATGTGTAAGTACATCTCCAAAGGATAAATACCCTATTACTTACTAAGTCTCCGCTATCCGTCTGTCCATTGGTTTGTGTCACCTGGTAGTTATTTTGAAAATATGTTTAATGTACAGAATTGACTCCTCTACAGATTTATTATAAGTATATATATGAATGTAACAACAAATGACTGCCTCTTCACAAATCTTTTTTGAAAAATTTTCAGTAATAACAAAGAGTCTGGAATAGTGGAGTATGCTATGTGGTAATAGGCCTAGCCATATGGGGTTTACATACTGGTGAAATGTGATAGTTACATTATAGACCACTCTGCATCCATCCATACACGATTAAAAAATGGTGACGTTTTGATGATGAAAAACCCAAGTTTAAATAAAAAACTATTTATTCTTATGGTAGGTACTTACAATGGATTATTTTAATATTGTATCGTAAGCAGAATTCAGGTTGTACAATGAATGTAATATAAATGTTGAAGATTAATTGCGGCGGCGCGGCATTCCGAAGTTAGGAGGCAAGTACCTACTTAGCACTCAGAGTACCAACGCAATATGACCACGGTGACGTCATTGCCTTAAGTCTCTCGTCGCTTTTACGTAGCAGCTAAACTTCTGACAAACACACACACACACAATACAACTGAAGCTTGATGTGTCATCGAGTATTTCTGTAGTGCACCCAACTGTTGATTTAGAACTGATGGGAATTAAGTCACATTTATAAGATAACAATCAAAAATAAAATAATATTGTCAGCATTCACAGCATAGGAGAAAAATATAGCTAAGAGATAAAATGTGTATAGCAGTTGAAATATTTTTCATTCGTTCAGTTGGATACTCGTTCATTACTGCCTTTACAGAATCATATCGGAGAAAGCCTAAATTGATAAAGGAAATAGAAATAATTTAAAATTAGGATAGTCAGTGTAAAAACATCAAATTCTCGTAAAAAGTGGATGCAAGGAGACTAATTTTACGAAAATATCGATGAGATTGGAAGCATGATACACGATGTTATCGGCGGCGCACGCCGCCCGCGTCCCCGACGGAACGGATCGATCGGACACGGCACACAGCGCCCGCGCCGAGTAAATTGAAAATATCTTGCACAGCCTCCCACCCGCGAGAGCTGGCAGTAAATCAGTGCCTTCATGTAAACTTACGCCTCGAGCGAGTTGTCCTGGATACTCATCATGTTGACCAAAATATTTGACTTCCATCGAGCCAACCAACTCACGAGGTGGGCACACAGCCTGTAGGTGCTGCACCAAAAAAAAGAAGAATGGCTTAGAAGAATTTCACCAGTATGTTATAATGGAGGTCAGGTCTTCCTAATGACCAAACAAATAAGGCGTGACACCATCCGCCGGCTTCATCTAGTTTTTCACATATAATTTGACGTGTAAGAGTGCCGTTTTATAGACTATTTGCAAAAATAAATTCATTGTTTCATTGTTTCACCAAACAGATGAGTAATATAGTAATATAATAACAGTTTGTGTATAACGTGCACTTATATAGTTATGACGTACTTCTCTACTTTGTGTGGATTTACCCTTTATTGGGATATTGTATAGAATGATGTAATGGCAAACGAGCAGACAGATTACCTCGTGGTATGATGTCGCCAATGGACACCCGCAACACCAGAGCAGTTGCGAGTGCGTTTTCGGCCGATTGGATTACGGTTTCGGAGATTTAGGGATCGGGGAAGCAGTGGGCCTCCGGTAACCGCATTCCCAAATCAAAAACAACGCTGTATTTGTTTCACACTGGTTTTCTGAGAGGCCGTGGTATGACTCCGCTAAAGCCGACACATTCATCCGAAGCATGGCTCTCCCACACTTAAAATTAGAGCGTTCATCTGATTGCATTTACGTACACTGAAGGACAACGTCATGCCATTAAGTACTTCGAAGTCTAATAAATCATATCGTAGCTAGGTAAGTATATGAGTGTTAAGTGATATTCTAATAAACTAAGTACAGCGTTCCGGTACGCGATGCGCCTCCGGAAGGAAACATTTTTATACAGTTAAGTTTCATGTTTTTGCTAATTTGAGAATGCAATGAGTAACTACCGGCTGACATCAGTATCTATGTACTTTGTACTTGGTGGGTAAACAGTTGCAATTTGGCAGTAGCTGGGTAACGTGTCGTGTTTAAGTCGTCGATTAAGCCCTAAGAATGGATTCTGCGTACATCGTTTAAATCTCTTCGCGTAAGATAACAAAGGTTTTCTTGATAAGCTGGTCGTGCAGTGCGAGGGAGCAGTCAGTCGGCACACTCGGAACACAACAAGCATCAATAAGAGTCCGTCAAGTGTTAAGTCAACAGCGCGGGGCCCGGCGAGTCCCGCGGCCCCTGTGTTTGCGCCCAGTGAGTCGGTGAGCAACTTCTAATATGTTTGCCGGGGACCCCTGTTTGAGCAGTCACTCGCACCGGCCCCTCTACATGCTAATATAACTGGCTACTGATTGAGACCTCGACCAACTTGACTACTTGCGTCTTCATAAGATTTATCCGAACAAGCAACGAATTAATAGATACACGTGGAGTCGCAGGTTGCGGCAGCTTACTTATTCTTTATTGTATCTACAGTATTGTATACAGGAACATGTTCACAATATTATCTTCTAATCAGTGTACCTAACACATGTGTGAAACACTTAAATTTTTAAACAACATGAAACTCTACGACCTGGAATAGCCAAAGCTGTAAGAACTAGGGTTTCTCAAACACAAAAACGTAGTAGGTAATATACTTAATACATCATTTTAAAGCAAACGCTTTAATATTCTTAGTATGGAATGTAACTTTACAGATTATTCTCTCAAGACGTAAACAGAGATAGGTATGAGTTACACTGAAACTAAGCCTCATCAAGTTACATTCATTTATTCCAATATTCCTTTTTATATAGGCTGTAGTCCTACAAGCAACCGTGATATAAAGATAGAATAAGTTTATGATTTAATTATATTAGAAATAAAACTAATGTTTCAATGTTTTCAATCTTAATCTGTGCTCTTATTTGAGACCCTTTATAATGTTTGCGCGATGTAACAATCGCAAAAACATTATTAACAAGAATCATAAGTGCCTGCACGGTTGGTGCGGTGGCTGGGCAACTGGCTGCCGCGCAGCGTGTCGCAGGTTCGATTCCCACACGGAACAATTCTTTGTTTGATCTACAAATTGTTGTTCCAGGTTGGGGCTTTGTGTATATGAAATTATATGTTTGTGACCGCACCCACGACACAGGTGAAAATCCTAGTGTGGGGCAACGTTTTTTACTTCGGTTATATTTAAAAAGTAGCTGCAGTACTTAAGTAGCTACAATACTCTAAATGAGAATCTGATTATTTGAACATGGCTCATCGTTATGTGAATAGGCTATTACACTTCCCGAGGAGACAACCATCTTTATAACAGATAAAACAAAATTAGAATATTTTTAATTGTAAATTGTAATATGACATTAAATGATATTTTATTACCTACTATTATAGGATGAGGTATTTTCGAACCTAACTGATAGAGGATGGTTACAGACCTAGTTATTACTAATTAATGTCTACGTCTCTTGTAGTTACGAAAGTTTCGTAAGAAATTAGTGTTTATTACGATTCTCCAGTTGAAGTTTTGTAATAAGTCCTGTAATTGTATTGTCAAAGTGAAATCATTTAAGTATTTTAATTAAATAGACCACCAAAGCCAGATTTGAAAGTCAAACAAAGCAATTAAATATCAAAAGTTAAAAAGTGTCCGTCTGTCAGTCGGTCCTCTACTAGCTCATTCCAAAGTGTAGACTTATGGAAGAGAACGAGCAAGAAACTCCGTGGTTACCATTTTTTGTAATCGTAGGTACTTACAGGTAATGTGCAGCGCCACAGTACGGCGGCCACAATACAAAACATCACCTCGCTTACCTATGGATGTGCCCCTGTTACAGTTACCCTTGCGGCCAAGGGTAGGTAATAGTTCCGCTACCCGCCACTAGATACCTCTGCATAGGTTGTCGTCAACTCTTCACTTAATAAGTGAGTAGTAAAAAGAAACATAATACCTATGTTTCTTGTTTTATAAACTTTGATTTTGAATGGTAATGAAAGTAGATGTATTTAATACACATTTAGTTTCATTAACTTCATAGTAAAGTAATATTATTCTTTGTTGTTTACTTGTGCATGCTTTTAGGTTTTTATATTTTACTTTTATACAGATTATTGTATTGTAAACCAATAAAAGGGGAATTGATAACAAAAAAACATCGTGTAAAATTACGTCTGTAAAGAGGTTTTAAATTTGTTTTTAAAACTAGGAAAAAAAATAAGAAAGTTCAAAATATTTTTAAAAGTTTGACTATTCGATAATAGATGGCGCTAGGAGTAACATTCGGTTGCTGCGTGTGTCAGCGCGCGGCGTGCCCGGCAGTAGCAGACGACACGTTTCAAACTTTAAATATTACAATGAATTTGAGTTGTTTTTATTAAATTTTAGCAAAATATAATTAATATTTGTTTAAACTATAGGTTAATGTTCAAAACAGTAATTAGTTATAAAATCAAAAAAGTAGGTAAGTATAAAAGCTACTAAAAAGTTACGAATTGCAACTTTTAAAATGAAACTAAGCATGCTAAGCATGATATAGAAAAACATCTTTAAAAGCATTGAAGTAGGTAGATAGTGTTGAATAGATGTGCATGATTAAGTCTCCTTAGGTAGGTATACCTAGGTACTTATTTGTGTGTTGTGAGTAGACATTCACTAAAGTTATCTACAATAAATACCCTTGTAATTACCTAAAAAAAACAAAAGATTTATTAAATATTTATCTACCTAAATGTGGGACTACGCTTACTTACCTAAGTAGATATACCATCTTTGCGAAGTGTCATATTCAAGCATTGATAGTCGGTGGGTACAGGCAGACTAACTTAGAAGCGAGGAGTTAGATTGAGATCTACGAGAGGTAGAGATTGTATATCTAATCATATTATTGATACAAAAAATACAATATAGGTATATATGTTTTTAAATAAGTAGGTACTTACATATTATTATTTAACTTCGTAGTTCTGCATAATATTTTAAAAATATTTTCATGAGCGGCGAAATCAATGGCTACACATTGGGTAACAATTATAAAACGTAACTACTTACACTAGCTTTTATATTTGTTTTAACTTTAAAAAAATATTGTGGTTTGTTACGACGTTTCTTCTCAGAGTAGGACTTGTCAGATGGGAAACTTATTCACACTTCTAAAACTAAACTAAATTTTTATTTTCCTAACTACTACCTGCCTTTTTACAAAAATATATTTAGATATAAGTTAATCAGGTAAACAGTCAAGCCTCTGTTTTTTGAAATATCAAAAATCAAAGTCCATTTGGATTTTGGACGGACTTTGAACATCAACATAACTTACGACACAAACCATATTTTTGCGTCAATAAACATACCTACGTAGGAACTTTATATTTTTCTTCAAAAATCGTCACAAAAATAAAAAATAAGTTTATAAAATATTTTATTGTATTTTTAAGAAAGTTAAAAGAAATTTATTGTTGGCTTTGTAAACTGAGTTCTTAACCAAATACGGTGCCTATAATGATATTATTATCAGAATTATGTTATTTATTTATAAATAAAATATTTTTATAGTTTAAATTTACATGGGTACCTAAATATCTACTTATCTACCTACTTGCGAGTGAGGCAGTAGTTACTCAACTTTATCTTCTTTATCAGAATATCTCATTTACTATTGATACTCATATTTACACTATTATCCTAATAAGATTCCGACTACCTAATTATTTATCAAATAAGTATAAACAAATGAAAAATATAGAAATCTAAGTAAGTTTTACCTACACAATCAGTAACAGTCAGACATAAAGCGGTGACAGAGCGGTGACAACACGAGGCTGCCGGTAGTGTTGATGTTACATTAAATAATATACTCAGTGTACCCACTAGAAAAATATACCTATACAAAATAAGATGTTATTTATTAAGTTGCAATTTATTTTTAATAATCTTGGATTTAAACTTTAATAATAAATGATCAAGTAGCTATTGACGAATAAAGTTTAAAAATTTTTTTAAATTATTTAGCAGTAGTGCGGAACTGTGTAAAATTTTTGAATTAAATGAATGTCATATATGTAAGTATAATATTCGGTGCAAATGTTAAGTCCCCAAACATCGCACGTACAGCGAGTAGAGTCGTCCGTCGGCGTCGGTAGAGCGGTTGCGGAGAGTACAGCGACGCGACGCACAATTTTCGTGTGCGAGGGGCGAGCGGGTCGCGGGGCGCGGGGTGGGGCGCGCGGGGTGGCGAGCGCGCGGGGGGCGGGGCGCAGTAATTACATCGTCATTAGCGGGCGGCGCCTGGGCGGGGCCGCCCCTCTCCGGGCGCGGGCGCGCGCAGCGCCGGCGAGCGCTCCAGTCCGCTCCGTGCTGCCGTCGCGCACGCACGCGCATGTCGCTCGCTGTGTTACCCGGTGATGTGAGGTGGCCCCCGCCGCTGCCGCAGCGCCGCGCGACTAACGCGCTTTTTTCGCGACCGAGTAAGCCAGTTGAAGGCTCGAGAGCCTTCGAGCCGGCAAGACGCCGTCCACCGTGGATTTGAGGTACGGCGCCATGGCGGCGACCACATACATGCCCGCCGACATGGACCTGGGCAACATCGGCGGGTATCATGCAGCGTCGCCGCGCAGCGCAGAGCCCGCAGACATGAAGTATCAGCACGGGCTGCACGCGGGCGGCTCGCCGTCCCCGGGCGCGCCCGTGCTCAACCCGTGGACGTCCCTGCCGCCGGCCGACCCCTGGGCCATGCACCAGCACCACGCACACGCGCACCAGCCCGACGTCAAGCCGCCGCCGGCGCCGCACGAGCACCGCCACCTGCAGCACGGCGGATGGCACGCCCCCGTCGTGTCCCCGCACTATGGCGCGGGCTCCCCCGTGGCGCTGCATGGAGGATACCCCATGCCGATGCACCAGCACCACATGCTCCGAGATATCCAGCCTTCGCCGCATCCGCTGCATCACCATGCCATGGAGCGGGATCCTCCCGAGGAGGATACGCCTACCAGCGATGACCTGGAGGCCTTCGCCAAACAGTTCAAGCAGCGCCGCATCAAGCTCGGCTTTACGCAGGCCGACGTTGGCCTGGCACTCGGTACTCTCTACGGCAATGTGTTCTCGCAGACCACCATCTGCAGGTTCGAAGCGCTACAACTTAGTTTTAAAAATATGTGCAAGTTGAAACCTCTGCTCCAGAAGTGGCTCGAGGAGGCCGACTCGACCACCGGCAGCCCGACGAGTATCGATAAAATAGCTGCACAAGGAAGGAAAAGAAAGAAGCGCACGTCTATAGAGGTATCAGTGAAAGGTGCACTAGAGCAGCACTTCCACAAACAACCGAAGCCATCGGCGCAGGAGATCACGTCGCTTGCCGACAGCCTGCAGCTGGAGAAGGAGGTGGTGCGCGTGTGGTTCTGCAATCGGAGGCAGAAGGAGAAGCGCATGACGCCGCCCAACACGCTGGGCAACGAGATGATGGAGGGCATGGGGCACGGGCACTACGGGCACGGCGAGGTGCACGGGTCCCCGCTGCAGCACTCGCACTCGCCGCCCGGCCTGTCGCCGCAGCACGGGCTGCCGGCGGGCGCGCATACGCTGGCGGCCCACTAACAGTTCGCCCCGTGGGCGCCGCCGCGGCCCTACTACTCGGAGCCTCACTAGCGCCGACTAGACGCCGCGCCCGCGGGATATCTGACCGTGTACATACGCGCCGCGCGCCTGGACGTGCGTGCGGCGCACAGTGATCGCGGGGCCCGCGCCTCTGTACATACCTCTGCGCGGGCCCCCTCACGGACCGAACGCTACGTTTAAGTTGTTCTTTATAATTTCAGTGAAGTCATGATTAATTATGTGAGTAATGTTAAGATCGAAGCCAGTAATCGTTTATACTTTATCGAAACGCCGAGGTTCGGAGTGATCGCCGATACGTTTAGCTAGATAGTCTAATTGATAAATAAGAGCTTAAATCGGAGGTGGATCCCGGCGTCGCTCGCCCTCGCCGGCGGCCGCGGCATCATCGTCGTGCGGTAAGTACGGCGACATTACACACACGAGTAGTACAGTACCGAGCGCTAACTAGCCGCGCGATCCCGCGTACTTGACGCACGTAGTCGCGACCTGCGAGTCGCGCGCGAGCCGCTCGGCCGCTCCGGCGAGGAGTGCGTAGCTCCATTCAGTTTTGTAAAGGACGATTTCATCGAATTTATTTATAGATATTACAAATTAACGATGTTCATACATGCCTACCTATCAGTAGGGAGTCATTGTGGTGTGGAATAAATTTAAATTGTTGCTATTACTGTAAATTTATGATTAGTGACGAAGACGAGAGTAAAAAATATGAATCGGGTCGAAGCTTCGTTTTGTAAGGGAATACGAGTGAGTCAATAGGTGCAATTTTTATTTTAAGTGTTTAATGAAACGATCCGGATGTGAGAGCAATCATGATTGTAGTAAGACGAGTAGCGCGGCCAGGCGCGATCTGTTGGCGTTAGCGCGCGTTGGCCGCCGGCCGCGCCGCGCCGCGCCTGGCCGCGCGACCTTGCGCCGACGCACACCTAGCTCCCACTACATAATTTATTAAAATTATTATTAAAAGGATGCAGACACGATGCCAAAATGGTTTTATTCCTGTTTTTTACTTGTTTTGTTGTTTTTTTCGTTTGTATGTATTTGTGGCCAACCTTGGTACTTAATACTTGTAAAAATAGGTATTTTTTCTATATAAAATAATGTACCTACGACGTATATGATGATATATATTAAAAAAGTTCTTTATAGAAATTGAAATATGGAAATGCCTTTTATTGAACATGTCCTGATCATCTCTCGCCAGACTTTGTGTTTGTTTACGTAATGCTAGCTGTATTAGTGTCCCGGGTGCCGGCACAAGTGTAGCGCGTGCGGCCCGGTCTCCCACACCAACCAATCTTTGCATAGGTTTACTGTTATCGAACAAAAGCTCAGTGGCACTTGTGAAATGTGTTTGCTAAACTTGAATTAGATTAACATTGTAAATAAATAATCGCATCACGATGGATTTCGGTATGCAAGTCTACGTAGCGAGTAAATATTACTTAGTGATATGATATTTTATATTATCGTCTAAGTATTTAATAAAACAGAGTAAATATTTTACCAAAGAGTATTATTGGAATTTCCCGGTCAGTAGGTCATGGTAATGGTGTGAAAGAAGTTGTGTGGACGTAGTGCTCCTGATGTATGAGGGTGCAGGGCAGGTAGCGCGGTCCTCACACACCCGCCGCACAAAAAATCACAAAGAATTGATAAACTACGCGCTGATCCCATCTCGTAGTTATTAAACACATCGCATACATTTTTTACATTTGATAAATAATGCGTTTGTATGTTTGTGTGTTGTCCCCTCGGACCGTTCTGTTACCGCACTCCGTTACTGCAATCGCGTTATTTATTCATCAAATATACGAGAATTATGTGACACTAACTGCTTACATTGGCACTGCTTGTTTTATTGTTGTTCAAGTTAATAATATTTGTCTCTGTGATTTATTTATAGGTAGATAGGCTTTCTTAAACAATATTTCTAATACTTTTTTATTACCAAGATGTTGTTGCTTCTCTTTTAGAAATTATTTAGTCGCTTATTATGTACTACTAGAAGTAACTACTTAGGCTATTGTTTGCTTTGAATAAATTGATGTTAAATGAGTACTTATCGTAAACAAGTTAAACTTTACGATATATAGGTATATGTATACCCAGTTTGAAGTTTTTGGTAATAACGGGCTCATACTAAACTATCGATCCACAATACAGTGCACTCAAACTGCATTCAAACATTATAATGCAACTAGAATATGTTTTTTTCTTTTTCTTATTTTTATACATCTAACCCTTCTGCTTATCAAAATAAGCAGAAGGGTTAGATGTGTGCTAGTAATATTGCCAAATTTAAAAGTTTGCAGATAAATAATTGACATTATTGAACAGGTTATACTGAAACAAGTAAATCTGCTTTGTAACAAGCTGAGCTTGTAGAGCAATTAAAACTAAAATTGTTTTGTGGCCGAAAGCAAATAAAAAATACGTTTAGCGAGTGTGTTTGATAGCTTTCTCCTGTCAATAGCGACAGTCATACAAAAAAATAAGGAGTGGATGTTAGCGGCACCACGGCCGTCGACGCAAAAACATTACGTGTGTGTACACGGCGAGTGCAGTGTGTGTGCTGTGTGTGTGCTGTGTGTGTGCTGTGTGTGCATCCAGTAGCCGTAGTGTCCACAGCAGACCAAATGAAATTCCGTCTGTCTAATGAAGCGTAGTAGCCGCAGTGAAACCTTCCCACCTGAAAAAATATTACCAACGAATACCAACACAAATAATTGTTTCAGGAAACATCATCCATTCTCTATTGACATTCAGTTTTTATTAAACTAAGTGTAGGTAAACTGTGTTCTAACAAAGTTTTACATTCAGGAAAAATATTCAAAAGTGGATCATATAACTATAATCAATGTACAACTATGTCAACGATTGCTGATATTTATAATATCATTTAACTCTACAACTTGAAATAAGTAGATGACAATAGATTTTATTACATTTTAATCTAATTATGAAACATATGCTTTCCAAACACAACTGTTTACTTAATGAATTAATTTGATATTATTATGGGGTGTTTATATTTTCTAACGTCGGTGTAGCCAGCTCGGCGCACACAGCCGCAGCTTTTTGCTTAGTTTATGATTAAAATTTTTCACAGCAGCGATTATATTACGAATTAAAACGACAATGGCTCGTTTGTTTCCGCCTGTTGACCAAAAACTTTTTTTAAACATTTTAGGATAAGAATTTATGCTAAAAGCTATGTATAACTATTGTGGAAAATGAATAAGAATAGTTCGGCTCTGGCCGACGGCAACGCGGCCGCCGTCGCGAGGCACGCGCTGCTTTAATGCTCATTTGTTTGCTGCTATAACAGGGATAATTACATTTTGTTATTTCCTTTAGTCTACACTTACCCAGTAAAGCAATACAATAATATTTATATTGATAATTAAATTTTGATATAGACAGTGTTTTTGGTCGTTCGAAACTGTTGTTACTACGCTCTATGGTCAGGTAGTTTGTTTTGGAAGTTTCCTAACTTAGTCTTATTCATTCAATCTTACATGTCTGAAACATTTAAAGTAAGATTGAAAATGTTCCTCTAAGCAGTAGCCGGACCCAAGGCTCGCTACTCGGCACGTTACCGCGCCATACATGCACAGCATTGAGCGTCGCCCGGCCTTCGCACACAATCGCACACGAGCGGCACTAATGCTGCGCCTTGCTGAAACACTAGCGCGGTGCGTCCACCAGCTACATTAACCCACTTGGAGGTGTTCACTTGTCTGTGGCTCGCGACGGTACATTAACACCAGAATGCCATCGCTCACAAGCTAAATACTGCACGTACTTATAGTTCTATGTTCCATCGACGCGCCGTTTCAAAATGTTCTTGTGTAACAGCAATCCTCTTTGTAATATGTCACAGTATTTCCCCGAGACACCTACTTTCCATTTTAAATTATTTACGTAGATATTTTAACTAACTGCTCAACGTAAAAAGTTAATGCTTTTACATTTGTGTAGTTGCAAGATTGTGTTTTAACTTTTATGCGATAAAAGAATGGTCTAGTCTAGAGGTTCAAAGTTGAAGCCAGATATAAAAGTTGTGGCAACATTTATTTTTGAATAATCACGTCCTTGAACACTTGAGCAATGCCTAAATACGTGTTGATTTAATTACAGAAAAAAAACTTCACAAAAACAGGACTCTGTTTTGGCGGTATGAACCTTTTCGGGACTCTCTGATTGTATTTTGAAAACCATGAGATTGATTCCAATGTTTGCGACTACTAGTTATACAGGAGGGGAATAATTCATTGTCATTGTGTAGCTAGTGGCAGATTGTTACCGTGCATGAGGACGCGGGTGTCGGTGGTCGGTGGTGTCATACAGAACCAGTTAACGTAATGTTGACGTTACCGCGAATCTAAAACAAAGGAAGGGTTAAATAAAACACGTATAAGGTGGCTATTAATATGTGAGTTCACATCTGTATTTCAATTGTGTCAGAATGTCTGGCGACAAAAACTGTGCGGCGACAGTGTCGCGCAAACGAGCGCTCGTACCAACTTACCTGTCAGTTTTTCTGCGTTTTGTCGTAAAATATGTATTTAAAAAACGGCGGGTCTGTGGCAGGTGCGGCGGCGGCGAGGCCACCTTTATCAGCGGCCATGTTCTACTCAATTTATAGTCTCCTCGGTTTTGGTAGCGCCGCGAGCGGTCCCGCGCGCCGCCACTATCTCGCCCTTCGGGTATTTTTTCCGCGTAGGCGCAACGCGACCGCAACAGATTATCTCAATTTGAAGTTCAACAAGCGCCGGCCGCCGGGAGCCACAGCGTCTCGTACCGCGACACTGATTCTGTATGATATCCCGTACTCTAAAGTAATGTGATACTCATTCAAACGTCACCATATTGTTATTAGGATATCTGATTTAAAGTTTTCTCAAAACTAGAAAATTATATTATCATCACAGTAGTCCGCATTACAACATTTATTACCTGTAGTCCAATTTGCCTGTCGAGACTGTTGTTGCTGTGTTGTTTTTTTATTTATTTTCAAGTTCAAATATCTATTTGCGTGTTTAAATCATCGATTTTTTTCTCCAATTTAACTGCTGTCGTTAATATAACTTCATGTAATTTTATAAAATATGGTTTCTGTGAACTGTTTATAATGTTTAGTTTTGTTTTTAAAAAGAGTATGTATTAAAATGACAACTGTATCACCCCAATATTTGTAATACCTTTTGTACCATAAACATAATTAATTTATGAGTACTGAACAAATCTTATTTTATATAGTTATGCATATGTAACATTCTTTACCTACAGTAACAATTTAAATAAGTAATATGATACCCTAACGCACTACTATCTAAGTGCGTTACAAAATAGAAAATTTCCAGTTCCATCTAATGATTTTCTTATTGGGATGACCCATCGTCCAGCGTCCATGAGTGGCAGGGGCTGGTGATGATGATTAACGTCAACATTAAATAATCGTAGAGATACACTGACAAAATGATGTAGGTATTATAGTAAATTAATAT